ATACAGAAGATTTGGTTGTCACAAATAGATTGGGATGAACCGTTACCTGAAGATTTGTCCTCTGAATGGAGAAAGTGGTGTGAAGAGCTACCTCAAATGGCTGAATTCTCCATCTCTCGTTACCTTTTCATGCACTCGAACATTTAATGTCGAAAAATCTTCGAACTACATTTGCTTTTCAGATGCAAGTGTCAAAGCCTATGGTACAGTCGCATATTTACGTTTCATTGACAGAAAATAAAGAAAACTAGCGACATTCAAGGAACTCTCACAGCTGAAGAGTTACAAGAAGCACTAAAATTTCTGGATAAGATCAGAGCAAAAGAAGTTTTTTGCCGAAGAATATAAATCCCTCAAAGAAGGTAATTCGGTTGGAAAAAATTCTCCTTTGTACAATTTTCTTCCTTACATTGATGAAAAGGAAATCATGAGGTTGAGAGGAAGACTGGAATTTTCTGACTTCTCACTAGATAATAAACATCCAATAATCTACCTAAAAATTCTCGACTAACGATTCTGATTGTATGCAAAGAACATGAGAAGATAATGCATGGAGGAATTGCTGCAACTTTAGCTAAAGTCAGATCACGCTTTCTGGATTCCTAAAGGACGACAGTTAGTCAAAAAAGCATTAAAAGGTTGTATAATTGCCAAAAATATTTAGCTAAACCAGCAGACCAGATGACAGCACCCTTACCAAAGGATAGAATCCAAGAATCTCCTCCATTTGCAGTCTGTGGAATTGATTTCGCCGGACCAGTTTACATAAAGAATTCTAAAGACATTCGAAAATCCTATATTGTTTTGTTTGTTTGTGCAGTAACCCGAGCTGTACACTTAGAACTTGTATCAGATATGTCAACAGAATCCTTTTTACTTGCATTTCGCAGATTTTTGAGCAGAAGAGGAAACTGCGTAATCATCTACTCTGACAATGCTAAGACCTTTAACAGGACAAAGAAAGAAGATGAGAATTTTTCAAAAGTTTTAAAAGATGACAAATTCAAGAATTTCATTGCCAAACAAAGAATCCATTGGAAATTTATAATCAAACGAGCCCCATGGTGGGGAGGGTTTTATGAGAGACTTGTTAGATCTGTTAAAGAATGTTTAAGAAGAATCGTAGCATAGGAAATCGTAGGAAAAGCATTGTTGACTTTCGAAGAAATGTCTACACTACTTGTTGAAGTGGAGTCAGTTCTTAATTCACAACCTCTAAGTTACGTTTACAACGACAATGACGAGCCGCAACCGTTGACTCCAATGCACTTCCTTAAACATTGGACAAACTGATTTGAAGTATCCTTTGACCTTTGCTAGAATCATCGGTAGACGAAACGACAAGAGAAACGTTGTTAAAAAGAAAGCGTTATCAAGAATTGCTGTTAAAACAGTTGTGGTGGAAATGGAAGCAACAATATTTATTAGATCTTAGAACTGCCCATTTCTTGAAGAATCCGAAACTTCAACCAAAACTAAAAGTAGGAGATGTTGTTTTAGTTCGAAGGAGATAATAAAAACAAACTGTTATGGAAACTTTGGTAGAATCATAAAAATTATTCCTGGACATGATGGTAAAGTCCGATCATTTCGAATTAAAAAAACTGGTAATAGGACTTTAAAACGTACTGTTCAACATCTATATCCTCTTGAACTTTAGATATTTTGAACTTTAACGATTTAGTTATGCATTTTTCTTTTCTTTTTTTGTCCTATTAATGATTAAATTGAATATGTTAGTTAGTTAAGTTAAAGTTAAGTGGAAAATATTTGAAAATTTAGTTCATTTATTAGTTATAACATTTATTAATTTGATACATGATGTGTATAACCTTTTTGGAATTGAAAGTGTTTGACTAATTAGTATTTTTTAATATTTTTATATAATAGTGATTTATGTACTTGATTGTATGTATAACTGAGTTAGATGAACTCTTGTCAGAGTTTCAGGTGGGAGAGTGTGTTAAGGAATATTCTTGATATCGCCAAGAGATGGCGTTAGGAGTCCATCTATTGGCTTACTTAACCTTTCCCCTTCTGAACACGTGACTTGAAAAAATATTCTTCTTCTTGAAGGTAGAATTTCGATGCACTACGCAATAGAATTCGATTTAGATTTTAGCTGGAACTATTCCGTTCTTGCCTTTTGAGCATTAAATATTCGATTCAGGCATTCTAGCCTACATTGTATATATGTAAATATTAAGTTTAATTAAAATTTATGGAAAACCCTCCAGGCCATGCATCTCATTTTTTGGATTATGAGTGATTCGACTTTGATCTAGAACTTTCGTTACAATGTTTACATGTAAAAGACGGTCGATTCTCTTCATCTGTAAATATCATCTATGTAAATTCATCCTTCACACTAAACACGTATCATTGTGTATTTGTAATAACTATTCATGTTTCCATTAAATATTCAAGTTATTTGTAAATTGGACTAGTTTATTAGCCCCTAGACAGCTACAAAAGAAGTAAGTTTACAGACATCATATTCCTAGACAGTAAGAGCCGATTCTACATATATGCACACATATATAGCATAAAATATAACATACATTGCTGATAATTAAATTTAATAAAATGCATATTATAAATAGATAAAAACAGGAAAAAGAAATTTTCTCACTTCATAAAAAATGTAAAAAATCTAATAATTATACAAACATAATTAATATGAAATTGTTATGTAAATAACTAGTTGATATAAAAATTATACTATTTTTATGCATAATAAAAAATAATGTAAAATTATTATATGTTACATGTAAAAATTTGATAATTTTTATATTAATAGAATTCTGTTAATTACAGAAACAAGTATCTCTTGAAGTCAACAGCGGCTGCACCAGTTTATCTACACAGGGAAACATATCACCACCACGTCAGACACAAGTCTAAAATGACTGTGCCTGGAGTTATGCTTATTGATAATGATGGGATATAATGTTGCCACAGACTTATTTGGAGACACCCAGTGAAATTGGGAATAGAAATCGTATATCTAAAAAGCTCTGAAGACTACTGAATCTACTAAATAACATATGCTGCGGATTGAAGCTTCCATTATTATTATTTTAACAAACTTAAGCATGTATTTTCAGTGAAAAAAATCAGAAAATAGGTGAGCTAGATTTAAACTTATAATCTAATGAACCACATAATACTTAACACCTTGGTAAAGATACCAAGCAGTCAAGCTAGCTAGACTTAATGTAAAAGGTGAAAAATCACCAACGACAAAAAATCAAAAATATAATCAAATGCACGCAGACAATAAATTAAGCTTTTCTTGTTTGTCACACTTCTCCAAACATAAGACTACAGATTACTACTCTAGCAGATTTAGTTAATGCTAATAAATGAGGGGGGGGATATGTTAATAAATGGGGCAAGAAAATATTTCTTCCTTTATAGCTGGTAATAATAAAGCTCTTGTGTATTAAAGTGAAAAAAAAATTCTATCATTTATAAAGAAAATCCCTTGGAAATTATAATCTAAAATAAATGTATCATCATCAATTAAGTTTGTTAAAATAATTTAAAAAATCCAACAATATGTTGCGCATGTTATTTAGTAAGCACAACACCGATTCAGTAGCCCTCACAGCTTTACGGATGTATGATTTTTATTCGCAATTTCACTGGCTGTCACCAAATAAGTCTCTAGTGACATTGTATCTCATCATTATTAATACGCCTGACTTCTGGCACAGTGACTATAGACTTGTATCTATCTAGTGCTGGTGATATGTTTCCCTGTGGGGTGCAGCGATATAGACAGGCCTTTTAAGTGAGTAAATGTTGGAAACTATGACATTTAGCTAGTTGCATACAACAAACTCTTATTTCCCAATTATTACATTTATCATGTGACCCATTTTTTAAGAATGGAATACACATGACACATCCATCACTTTCACTCTACAAATTCTGCAACCTATAATACAATTATCTTAAACATGATGCCCTACATTGGAACTCCTCCATAAAAATCCATAATGTCCTCTTGTGTAAAAAAGAGATAACTGATTCAGCCTAGGCTTTTTGCCTTCTTTACATAAAAATAAAATAAGGGTACTTTTCCGTTTTGCACGTGCAAAGGATAAAGTCGCCAATAATGGTACAACTGATGCCAAACGGAATACCTTCACTGGTAACCTTTTACGCTTCATTTTCAAAACAAGTCGCAGCCATCTCTTATCAGATTGATTGTTTCTTTCAATACTGGCATACAATTACATAGAATTTTTACCTAGATAGTTAAATTTTTAAGCCCTATGACCATTCGTGGTAATTAAGTCAATTAGGATGCAATCACACCGCTCACTCGAAGACGAAAATATAGAAAAGGCAAAATCAAGGGTTAAATTCATCAATTCTAATGCGAATGCACTAGCGAAGTAAAGCAACGTGATTTTACATAATTTCTGAGAAAGCTATTCGTATGAACTGAAATAATTCTTGCATTTAAACTTGTATTCCAAATTAAGATTTAACTTGAAATTAAAGTAGATATTACTGAGATAATTAGTTTTTTGTACCGCAGTTTACGTGAGATCATTTGGGGTCACGTGATACAAACTGGCAAATCAGGATGTTGAACCATGAAAGCATAGTAAATTTTAAACTAATGTCTTTTTAGAAATTTATTGTCTTTATTTACTGGCTTTTTACAAAATTTTAAACCATATTGAAATATTTATTCCTTCAAAATAAAAAAATTCTTAGAACTAACATTTGTTAACATTTTTTATGTGTATACTGTATGCAGTCGCCAACAAAGTCTGCTTGGCAAGATTTGCACCGGTGAAGTGGAAAAGTACCAAAATAAGCTAAATGAATAAACTGAAAAAAATCTTAATATAAATTTTAAGAGAAAACATACGATAATGTTAATTATAATTCATAACAAAAATTTTCCTTTTTTAAAAGCACAAATTATTCAATTAAAAGTTTAACTTAATCATTTTGTGATGGAAAAAAAGTAGTTGGAAGTATTTCTCATGAAAAAAAAAGCCCTTAGCATAACAGAAGCTGCCATGTCTACTTGGAAAAGGACATTATATACTAACCAGTACTTGATGCTAATACAGTCAAAAGTCAATATAATCCGGACTCGTCGGGTCTTCGCCGATTCCGATTATCGATTTTTCCGGATTATAGATCATCAGTTTAAATCTGGTAAGATGGCCTGCAGAAATTATAAAATTAAAAATATGAAACCGTAATTTATGAAATAAAGAACAATTATGATCTAAAGGGTATCAAAATTCACAAACAAAAAAAAAAAAAAAAAAAAAAAGCTTAATATTTATTTGTTTACTTTATTAAACATTTCTTTCAATGTAAGTTGTTTAAGTTGCTTCGTTTTATGTGATAATACTTTCTCTTTAATTCTATAAACAGACATAATTTCTTGTTCAGTTACAAAGTTCCGCTGTTCAAGTCCTATAATTGCTGTGTCGAGAATACCGACTAATTTGTCAATCGAAATTTTTTCATTTTCAATAACCTCTGTGTCACTTTCTTCACTATCGGAAGCGAATTATAATGAGGAGGAATTTGATTTAAATCATATCAAAGACGGAGTACATCGAGATGAAATACTACATTTAGTAAGGAATTATAAGCCAAATAAAATAAAAACATCTGCCCTGAAGATAAGGATAGTGCTGACAGATCAACTTCCAATTCATTGCGCGCCGTGGCGTATCCCCCCCCCCACACAGAGCAACATGAAATTGATAAACAGGTTTCGGAATGGTTAGAGAAATGAAGGATATGCCTTTATCCATTTTTTGCAGCACTTCCACTTTTTGTTTAATGGACTTCGAAACATACTTTGGCTTTGTAGATCCTTTACGTATTAGTAAATATATATCGGAAATTCTATTTGACATAATCGAAAGTTCAAGCTTACTTTTATAAAATTGCTCTAACACTCTGCAAAAAATAATAAGCTTGGATCCAATTCGAAGATTAAGGAACAATGCAATCTGCAATATTAACTGAATTAGATAATTTTAGCTTAGCTTATACTGTTGTTATACATTAAACGTGCATGCGTAAACGTATTATGCGCATGCACACACGCATATTCGCAGCCGTAAAGGTCTTACGCGCATGCGTCAATGCGATGCATGTGCAGAAAGTTTGTAGCTTTGAGGTCCGGATTATGGGTGTCCGAATTAACGACTTTTGACTGTACTACCCTATGACAATTCCTATACTGCAATATTCACAGAAGAGTAGAATTGTAAGTGAGCTTCTATGGTTGCTGCAATATTAACAAAGATAGAAAAATTACAGATGCTAGCTGCTGTTGTATGCCAGGTGCTGGCAAAGACTTAAATATCCACAGAAATACTATAATTTGATTTTCAAAACTGCAAACTTATTTAACTTTTTTTAACTTATTTACCAGAATCCATGCCTTTGATCAGTACTTTTCCTTATTTTACTAATACTTTGCTCATTATCAGTAGGTAAATTCAAACTTGGAACAGCAGTCCTTTTTAAGTGTGGTCTTTTTGTTGCAGAATCTGGGGGAGGAAAATGATAAACATTAATGATGATTTACTCCAATGAAGTAATAATTTAGGTATCATTTATTATTATTATACTATACATAATTTAGACAATTTATAAAAACAGCTACAACAGCTTATCAATTAAAACCATAAACTCGGTGTAATCTCTCAGTTCCTAAGAAATAGACTGTATTTTGTTAAATTAACTAATGCTGTTATTAGAAAAATATTTTAATATTAAAAAAAAAAAAAACCTCCTTTAGTGTCAGTTTTTTCCCCCCTGTTCTTGATAGTTATTTCTTCATATCCTTTGTTTATTCTCATGTTATGAAATATAATTCGGTACTACTCTTATATATGCCCTCAGATGTATGGCATCGTCAAATGCGGTGATATATGCTGGTTTGTGGCACAACTGTGTTGGTTTGGTGGGCATTTTGAAATGGCTTACGTTACAATGAAAGACGTGGTGGCAAAATTTCAATTGCATATTTTGGATTGTGTGCAAGGTAAATTTAGTATTAAAAGGTACAGGTGAATTTTTATTCACAAATGTATGCTGGACTTTGTATGCTCTGTTTCGCAGAAGATGGGAGGAAAGGAGGATAAAGTGGAAATTGATAAGTTTTGCCTATGTTTGAAATTGATATTTCTGCTGTTTAAAGAAGCATTCACAATGGTAAGTGCATTTTATTTTATTGTTGTTCTTATTTTGTAGAATGTTATGTTTATTGTTTTTTGCTATGAATTTCTGTCGTTATTGTTATTTTTTGAATTGTTTGTAATTTATTTGTAGTTATTTTAGTATATTTTGTTGGTTTGTGTGCAATGCTGAGGTTGTGCAATTTGCTAATGTTTTTCTAAGTTAAACACAACACTATGTACATGGTATTGTTTAAAATTTATTGTTGTTATGTTAGTTTATTTGGTAAAAGTATATTTACGGGTATCCCTTGGCGAAATTGGCAATTTTTGGTATTACATGGATACCAAGTTTGTGCAATTCTTTGACTTTTTATTTTGGCTTTAAGTAGCAGTGATTTTAATCATAAAAAATCGCTGCTACACAAAGACAAAAATAACAAGTCAAAGAATTGCACAAACTCATTATCTATGTACACATTGACCTATTTTCACTTAAAAAACATCACATAATTGCACAAACTAAGCATTGTACATTCCCTTGACTTTGTGTATGTACACATCGATATAATTTTACTTAAAAAGTCGAAGGAGCACCCAATTCTAGGTAAAAGCATATTTATGGAACATTCAACTACTCAGGTTACCATATATGAAACAACAATTTGGCAATAAATGAAACAACAGCTTTGAGATAATACAAGGAGTACCCTTCAGTCTACTCTAACAGTTTATTTTAGCGAGGCGTGCATAATTCCCAGATTCCTACGCTGCATAGATTGTGCAATTCTCTGATGTTTTTTAAGTTAAAACAGATCGCTGTGTACATGTATTCTTGTCAAATATTTTTGGTTAGGCACTTTACGTTTTTGCTATCTTAATTCCCCACCCCTGGATTTTTGGCGTAAATTGTGCGTTCAAAACATGGTTTTTGAACGTGTGAAAACCACGCTTTTGCAGACGTTTCAAGCTTAAAGTTTGAAATGTAGACAAAAAATTTAGATAGTAATATGGTGCCATGTAGTTTCTCAATGTTTGGCGAGAAATTTATCACCAAATGAGGGCGTGTGTAAAAGTAGCTTCTATAATTCAATATGAAACAATGTATGTAAACACTAGAATGCGAATGGCCAGACTATATAACTAAACATATTAAAAGATAAAACAAAAATGTTACTGAATCATAATTTAGAATTAATAATACAATCATAATTTAAATTGCAAAAAAGCTCCAGTAACATGTTATTAACAAAAATAAAGTGAATTTTAGAAGAAAAACTGAAAGTAAGTTTTGAATATAGATGCAGGGACCTGCAAACAAAGATGAGTCAAACTGTCTCTGACCACCCAGCTATCTTAATAACAATTCACGATCACAAAGTTAAGGGTGCAAGCTTAAATTTAGGGGTTTTTTTATAACTTAAAAATATAAGGTTCCACAATGAACACTTCCAATCCATGTATTTGATTACATCTATCTGAAATGAGTGTATAAGTGAAGCATTTGAGATGCTACACTTTGCCTATGTTAGACATAGCAAGCTTGCATTTTAAAATTTAAGAAATTCCTTTAACACCCTTTACTACTCTGAACTGCAAATATAGAAGTATAGCTGTAACTCAGTCACAATAATACAAGAATAACTTCAATAACACATCATATTTACAAAACAAACAGCAAGCTGGAAACAATTCATAATTATAGTTTGAGCCCCACATAAGATTAACTCTAGTATTTTAATGAAATGTATTTTACTAATTTTCATTTATTTCTTTACAAACTATTCAATTTTAATATACATTCTTTATTACTTGATTTTTAAAATTTTTCTCAACTGTTTTCTGTAGAACTTGAGCATTTAATTAACTCTGGCAAAAATTCAGCTCTCCTTGTTGCTAATATATATTAAAAGTATTATACAATACAGAAATATCATAAAACTGTGCAATGAAATAAAAATTAAAACAAAAAGCACTGGAACTGGAACCAAATCCAAATAGGTACTCGCATATTACTTATCAACCATGAAACTGACACCAGGCAGCATGATTTAACATTAGTTATGAATAAGTATAACATAACAACACAACATCAGTGCTTTTAATTTAGAAGTCAAACAACAAAGTGAACATTGTTTTGTTCACAGTTTTCAGTGAAAATATAACACTGATTTTTGTTGTTTGAGTTCTAAATTAATATTTGTTCGGCGTGTTATTGTATTTTAATTATCAATGCTTTTGTTTGATGTAATTCTGAATGATTCTTGATAAGCCCCTTGTTTTTATGAAGAAGGATATATAAATTAACTACTATTGCAGTATTATCTCTCTCTCTCTTTTTTTTTTTTTTTTGTAAAACATGATTAAAGTTTTAGATATGTCATTTGCAGAACAGGAAGCAGTGGATTATTTTCAAGATTATGGCATCCTGTCATAACAAAAATGTTTATTAACAGACATGATATAGTCAGCTGAATATGGCTAACAAAGCAGTTATTATGGATTAAAATAATTACCTGTGGGAAACCAGAGTGTTCTAAACAGAGATTTCAGGTAAATTGCAGATACTAACAAAATAATTAAATCTTTTTTATGAAGCGGAAAAAAAAAAAAAAAAAAAAAAAAAAGGCAGGTTGAATACTGATTATTTATTAATTAAGAGGCATCAATTACTTTAGAATTCTACAGGAATGTTGGTGCAATTTTGGCTGAGTCTCTACTAACTTTGTGATTTCATTGTAGCCAAGTTTCACATTCAACGGGATAATATGCAAGTACCTACAAATGCTTCAGATATCAAAGAGTAGATATGAGATTTGAGATACTAATCAAGAGTGCTAAAAATGTGAGCTATAATAAGATTTCAAACTTATCAATTTGGAGTTCTTTTAAATTTGAAAATGAAATTTAACTGCTGTAGTACAACCACAGCAGCTCTAGCCATTCTAGCCACTCTTATTTTTAATAATAGTTCAAAATCATGTAAAACAGATAGGTGTTGATGATCAATATATGTTTACTTCATTATACCTACTCCAATATCATATTTGTTCAACCTTGGTTTAGTTTCAATACTTTTACACTCAATATTTTATTATTTTATATTCACATTCTTCTTCTGCACAATCTTATTATTCTATTCAGGATTTTCTCATTATTATGAAGGCTACCTGATTCTTCCTCTGAAAATGTCTGTCAGCTCTCCATGTGTTGTAGCTTTTCCCCATTTGGAAAAAAATTCAAGTTTAAAACTGAATAAATGAGCAGCGTTACTTTGGGTAACATTTTGAACAAACTATGGTTGCTTTTTTGCCTTTTATTTTTTTATTTTACATTCACGTGTTTCTTTTTTAATTCATACCTAGTTCAAAGGAAAAAATTTACATCAACTAACTGAAATTTCTTAAAATATTAAAATAAAATTTAATATAATGTATGAATATTGCTTATAATACAGTTTTAAATATGCGGTAAAGCAAAACATGATCATAGATACCATGCTATTTGATCTCAAGACAAATTTCAGATTGTATTGCATAAATATGAGATAGATTAAAAAGTGGATATTCATTCTTTTAAATGAAATGGAGATTTGGAAGATAAAAAGACATATAACTAACAAAAATATATTAAGTATATTTATATGAAACTCATTCTAAATGCTATCCAAATGGTAAGCGTCTTAAAAATCTAATTTTATGTTGTTATAACTCCTTAACATAACTATGCAATATTAAAAATATACTTTAAAACTGATCTTCATACTTTTAAACATGTTATTTTACAACATTTACGTCAGCAGATTAATACATTCAGTTAAGTTACATAAGCATCTTGTACTTCATAAATCATTTAGACTAATGTTAAAGAGACCCTCTATATACAATACATTTGAAAAACTTGACCTCAAGTTCCCTTTCTGCAGTGTATTCCTCATTAATCTCTGTAGATAATCTTAACTATTTTCTATATTTAATATTCCTTGTAGAACGAATGTGCTTAAAGATTTTAAATAATTTAGCAATAAAAAAAGATCGTCAGTTACTAAAACCATACTTTCAATGCATACAGCTCATAATGAAAACATTTTATTCTTATTATGGTGATATATTCAAAACTTATTATAACTGTTAGTAATTATAATTTCCTCTATTGCGCCTATGAACTTTCATTAATGTTAGTAATTATAATTTTCTTCATGAATTTTCATTAATGTTCATGATATAAAGAAATAACAAATACGCAGAAACATAGGATAAATTAAGGATAACATAATCAAGTTTGCACATTGTTTACTTTGTGAACGACCTGCATTCATGTTACTCTCCGTTTACGTTCAAGTTGACTTATCATTACGACTAATTAAAAATACCTCTATCCAGATAAAATTAAAGAACTTTTTACCAGGTAAAATGTAGTCTGTTTTCTGGAAATGTTTGGAACATACTTTCATGAAGTCAGTAACATTCTTTTTCCGAAGAGCACAAATCCATTTCGCTCTTCGCCTTATCGCATCGTCATCTTGTCTTAAACACCTCGAAGCAGGAAAACGATGGAAACTTAAATGAGGTTCTTTCTGAGCTCGTGAATTACACCCTGGTACACAGCAAAACGTATGATCGTTTCCCCTTTTCATTTTGTCACAATGGGTACAAAATGATGTACCAAAAAAAAGTTACAACGTACTATGATTAAGAGGGAATGTCGGAGAAGACTTCCTATGAGGTTTCACCTTTACGCCACTTGCTGGCGTTTTCTTTTTGGAACCATTAACTGGTAGCATTCTAAACTTTTCCGGAGAAAATTACTGGTACTAAAAACTCTTTCGTCCGATGGGCGAACAAGAATCAATGCGTTTTTTTATAAATTTACAACAGTATTTTCGGAGGTTTGAGTATAGAACCTTCTTTACTAGTTGCAGGAGTTTTTTATTCAAACCTCCTTTGAAATTTATGTATTTTTATTAATTTATGTATGTATTAAATTACATTAATTTAGTATCTCTAATGAACGTTATTAAGCGTGTTATTTTAATTTAGTAGGTATTTTCCAAGAAGAATCCCTCTGTCCTCTGATACAGGTACCATGAATCAAGTTCGATTAGATATGTGATTATGTACTTAAGCCAAAGAATCTCTATAAAGGGCGGTATCACACGGCGGTTTGTTTCGGACAACTTTTCTGCCTGGTTTACTACTGAGCAAAAGGCGCGCGATTTTTTGCTTCCGTTCGCAAAAAGTTGCAGGTTGTTCGTTTTCAACCAATCAGCTATCAGCTTCGAATCCCTCATCATCATCATCATCAACCAAAACAACATTCAAGATGGCGGACTGCAATGGTAGCAAGTGGTGTACAGAAATCGAAGCTGAACTTATTGAAGAAGTGAGGCAAAGGCGATGTTTATGGGATATTACAGATCCCAGTTACACCAAAAAACTTCTGAAGCGGAATGCATATATCACAATCGCCCAGCATCTCGCAGACAAATGGCCTGAATATGGACATATGTTTACGCCTGGTAAGTTTATTATTGCATTTTGTGCTGTTAATTAAATATAAACATTTACTATGTATATATAAATATATCACTTTGCCATGTTTTCTATGTTACGTAAGCATAATCATGTAAAGAAAAGTATGTATTTTACATTCGCGATATCTAAGCAAACACTTGTAAAACACAGGCGGCTTTGTCGCCAAAACGAACGCCTAATTTTCGCTGAATTATGTTTGTAAACATTATCGTGATTCATGGTATTCACCGCGTTAACTTACCAGGTGAATTTAAAAATTTACTTATTGGAATAACGTGTGACGCAATTACTTCCATACCCTGGAAGCACTTCCGCAGAGAACCCGGTAAATGTAAACATCGCCAACATTGGCGATAAAAGTTCAAACCTGGTAACCCAGCGCATTTATCCTATTCGCTTGTTCGAAGTTTGCAACCATTCCTCTTGGGTTTATTTTGTTGAATTATCACTCGTTGTTCGCATTTGCAGATTTATAGAAATATTTTCGTAGATAGATGCCGGTTCTCGGTTCGGGATGAAAGGAAGAAAATACGGCGGGAGGAGTGAATGCTAATTTGTAACACGGCTGTTCACGTTGTGTTCTTAATTATTAACAGCTCTAAGAACCAGCAATTTAAATAACTAAGTAATGCTTTTATTTTATTATTGGTTATTGTCATCTAAAATTATGAGAATAAATCAATTTTCTGGCGTAAAATTTTAACAAGATAATATATTGTTAATGCTTTTCTAACAATAACCTTTCAAAGGATGGCAAGTGTGACATAAATTGATGATTAAGTTGAAATAAAAAAGATTATTGATTATCTAAGATGACAGAATACTTTGATGCATCACCATGGTCATCAAAATTAGCAAACCACTGCTGGTGTAAGGAATATGTTGTTTTCTGTGTTAACTGGAATTTAAGACAAATTTTTTGTTGATCTTTACATTATGGTAACTTGGTGTTTTTTTGGCGAAAATTTGGCGACCAACTCTCCTACAGCAACCCTCTTTTTTTTTTCCCCGCCGCCATTTTGTCTTCACGAAGTAAAGACATGTTTCTTTTCTTTTTATCTACTGAACACTTCTTCCAACAATCTACTAGCCGAATTACACTTATGCTAGAAATTTTATCTAACAAAACTGCTTAATTGTGACGAATATTCACTGCAAAATTAGGAAAAAGTGCACAATACCATACTTCTTACGCGTTTTTCAAAATAACACATAAACCATGTACACGCTGACTTATTTTTACTTAAAAAAACATCCCAGAATTGCACAAAAATGGCATTGCGCACACTCTTCACTATATCCATGTACACTGCTTTTTTCTCATAAATTAGAAAAATTTCACGAAAATACATGACAATTTTCTCAATCTTTAAACCCGGTAAAAAGAACATGAAATTACCTGATCGCGAAAAAGTATTTACCCTTTCCAAATATGAAGATTTCCACATATAAAATAAATAAAATATCCAAAAACTTTTACCTCTAAATCATCTATTACATTATATATGTCACCAACGAATTCATACCGCAAGCATTACAAATACTTAGTATCAAATATTTAAATTATTTCCATGCACGTTTACTTCAACTTAAACGTATAACCAAATTCCTACGAACATAAAATTCACAAAATAACTATCATTTAATTAAAATATCACTAAACCATGTACACGCCGACTTATTTTTACTTAAAAAAACATCCCAGAATTGCACAAAAATGGCATTGCGCACACTCTTCACTATATCCATGTACACTGCTTTTTTCTCATAAATTAGAAAAATTTCACGAAAATACATGACAATTTTCTCAATCTTTAAACCCGGTAAAAAGAACATGAAATTACCTGATCGCGAAAAAGTATTTACCCTTTCCAAATATGAAGATTTCCACATATAAAATAAATAAAATATCCAAAAACTTTTACCTCTAAATCATCTATTACATTATATATGTCACCAACGAATTCATACCGCAAGCATTACAAATACTTAGTATCAAATATTTAAATTATTTCCATGCACGTTTACTTCAACTTAAACGTATACCAAATTCCTACGAACATAAAATTCACAAAATAACTATCATTTAATTAAAATATCACTAAACCATGTACACGCCGACTTATTTTTACTTAAAAAAACATCCCAGAATTGCAACAAAATGGCATTGCGCACACTCTTCACTATATCCATGTACACTGCTTTTTTCTCATAAATTAGAAAAATTTCACGAAAATACATGACAATTTTCTCAATCTTTAAACCCGGTAAAAAGAACATATATGAAATTACCTGATCACGAAAAAGTATTTACCCTTTCCAAATATGAACATTTCCACATATAAAATAAATAAAATATCCAAAAACGTTTACCTCTAAATCATCTATTACATTATACACGTCACCAACGAATTCATACCGCAACCATTACAAATACTTAGTGTCAGATATTTAAATTATTTCCATGCACGTTTACTTCAACTAAAACGTATACCAAATTCCTACAAACATAAAAATCACAAAATAACTATCATTTAATTAAAATATAATTAAATTCAAAAACACTAGTTAAAATATAAATGAGCACATACATTAAATTAATACATACATAAATATCCATTTCGAATTTACTTTAGTTACGGCCATGGGATCCAAAAATTCACGAACACTGTTTCACACAACACAGAATAAAGCGAAATACAAAATTTCCAGATTTTTTCCCGATTTCCCCCCTTTTCCGATTAAAGAACCGTAATTCGTGCGTTAATATCACATGACATATCCCATGATCTCTCATTTCCCTCACACAAAATAATGCGTAATCGGAACTGAGTACGGCTCACATTATTACCAATGTCCCAGGTAGTAACCTTTATCGCCTCCAAAATGTCGCCAAACTACCAGTTACCATATTGTAAAGATCAACCAAATTTTTTTTGTTTATCACGTTTAACAGGTTAATTTCAGTACATTAATACTAATTTATATTTTTCAAATGAATTTTTATTTCCGTTATAAATGCTTATATATTGTCTTATACTTAATATATTCTTTTCTGTGCTAACTTGAATTTAATACAGTTTTCGTATACCACGCTTAACAAGTTAGTTTTACATTTACATGCTTATTATCTGTGAACTTTTACTACCATATGCTTAATATATTGTTTTGTCTGCTAACTTGAATTTTCATGCACTAAAAATGACGTTGGCTTGGCGAGTAAAAATGCAACGGCACCAACGGGTTCTCTGCGGATGAAAACCTACCTATGCGCATATTTTAGTAAATTGCAATGGATCACCCGAAAAGATGTAGCTAAGAATAAAAATCTTTAAATTTCCGAATATAATTGTACCAGTTAAAACTTAGAAATCTGATTTTTATTTCAGAAACAGATTTTCTGGTAAAATTATTATTTAAAAAGTAAATAAGGAAAGTTAAATTTAAGCAGAGCTGACTAAAAGCTTCAATTGATCAATATCTGAATAATATTTTAGACTATAAAAAGAAATGTATACTGCTTTTTGAGATTTCTAATAAAAAAAAAGATAAAGATAAATAAATAAATAAACACACCTATGTGTCCTTTGAAAAATATTCAGTTAAATTTAAAAATATGTTTAAATCTAATAGAAGGCCCTGTCAGGGATATAAATTTTTTGAAAAGAAACAATCTTATACTGCAGTGTTTACTGAAATTTAGAGTGGCTGAGAATATTAATATATAGACATTTTTAATTTATGCATTTCTTTATATAAGCATATTTAAAAATATGTTTACAAATCTAATATTTACATATATTTGTACATTATGTAATATACGTACACTGGTGAAATAAATTAAGAGAATTTTCATATTTGATCTATGATCTCCAGAACTAGTGGACAGCCTGTTTTTCTGCTGACTCGGCCTACACACATGTGTATGCTTATGTATTTGCCCTACAACACTTGCATTTTTATCCAGAAGTGGTTATTCCTTCAGTTCAGTTCTTTTCATGCAATTCGATAAAATATACAAATTCTCTTAATTTATTTCACCAGTGTACATTACATGTATTTCATTATTTGTAAATTTGGTGCATACAACTTCATTTGTGAAATAAGGTATACTCATTTATATATACATGCATGAATTATATATTATATATATATATATATATTTCCTTTTATGAAAGTAGAATATTCCTGTGAAATGTTTTATAATTTGTTACAGCATCAGCTTTGAATTTTTTTTAAACAAAATATGGATAGTAATTCATATCTTCCATAAATCTATGGCAGTGAATCGGAAGATCAATTTATGTTCATACAAATAAGATTAAAAATATAATCAGGGGTAAAAACCCTGAAAGCTTTCAGATTTTATATTACATTCAAAGGGGTGTTTTGGATAAAAAATTTCCTTAAAGTTTGACAAAATATGAAATAAATTACAACAAAATTCGGGCTTCCAGGGGAAATGGAGGGCTACATTATTCAAAATTTGATGGCTCTAGCTATCGTTGTTTTTTCAGAATGCAAGAAATTTATACATTCATTCATACAGATTCTTCATTATTACTTTTCTTAAATATAAAATAGGGTGATAATATTTGGTGGCGACAGTTTTAAAAGTGATTTTGCATTTTTAGTGATATGATGCAAAATACCGTTTTGAGATTAATAGCCGTTCTGGGCTAATGCACCTTTGGGCAAATGATTTGTCAGAAATTACAAGAAAATGGCAGCTGTGTTAAACATCTATATGCAGGTATACAAGTGTAATATGCATATATACAATTAAATGATATCTACATATGTTACATATGTACGTATGTGATAAGGTGTCCTCATTTTTAGATGCATGTATGAATAAATGCATACTTACATAGACATATGCATTTCTATAAAACATGTATATATGTCATTTTATATTGATGCAATTATATATATGCATATTATATTTACATACCAGCAGATGCACAGCTGCAGTTTCTGTCAAATTATTTTTTATCATGTTTTTATTTTATTTACCACTAATTATATTTTTTAATTTATTTGTGTTAACATAGATTGATCTTCAGATCCACTCCTTATATTGCCACAGATTATAAACCCCTTTCTACAAAATCTGTTAGAATGAATAATACTACATATAATAAAATTGTTCCATTTTTACAGAGACTGTGATGACAAAATTTCAGAACCTCAGGACATATTTTAGGAAGGAAAGAAAAAAGGCGAAGCTGTTTAAAAGTGGAACAGGATCCACTGGATTTGTTCCAAAGTGGGAACATTATGTACGGCTTCAATTTTTAGACGACTCTTTTGCTGCTATGGCCAGTTGTAGCAATATGGATAATTCATCTGAGTGTATTGTAATGGTAATTTTTAAATCTATACATTTTTTATATTAAAAATACTATCCATTAAATTAGCAAATTTATATGTGTGCTGTAATATAAAAATCATACAATGTTTCTTTCTCTGTGTTTACGGCTCATGTGAAATTTAAAATTTTGTATCATTTGCCACTCTGGATTCATATCTTGGCAATCAGGGTGGTTGCATGTTTGTTTTGCCCAAGTGTTCCAGTTTCTCTTTCGGAAATCTACCATGAAGCCACCTCTGAGATGTATAGTCCTTGCAGAATCTACCATATTCAATAAAACAAATTTAAAAAAAAACATATAAAAGTAATGAAATGAAATTTGAAAGGTTTCAGTGTTTTAATTACGCCTAAAGGCATGTTTTTTACCATTTCGTGTGTTACCTTTATTTATTAAATATCATGTTCTTCACACTTAAACCATAAATTTCAGTTCAAGAGCAATATCGCAAAATAATTTTAAAATGACCATATTTTTAGAATTTCTGATACACAGTCTCACATCCTGGAGATTAAAATGTGTTTCCTGTACAATGTTGCCATTGCTTGCTTTGAAATTCCTGAGTTTGTTAATCATAAATTTGATAAAAGTTTTACAAAATTAAATCGATAATAGGACAAATTTCAAATTTAGGCTTCCAGATGCCCATATTCATAGGAGGATTACGTTATTGAAAATTTGATGGCCTTAGGTACCATTGTTTTATCACACTGTGAGAAACATATATTTATGCAGATTCTTCATTATTTAATTTCTTTAAATATTATACAGGGCGATAATATTTGGTGGCAACAATTTGAAAAGTGAAACAAAGCTTATATTGAATCAACGCAAAATGCGAAAATGAAATTAGTAGTCATTCTGGGCAAATTGATTTTGGATTGATAAACATGGTTTGAATTTATTTTACTCTGGTATCCTTCAGATCCTTTGCCATAAGAACCTATTAACCTACCTCGAATTTACATAGTCATCTATTTTAATTTAACTATTTTACTATTCCCATAATTTTAAGTCTAAGCACTTTATTCCTTTTATTAAATAACTTTATTCGTAATGTTAGTTGAATCAGATTTATTGTTCATTAATTAACACGTTGACTGCCAACTACGAGATAACTCGTAGATTGCGTTCTTTTCTAGGACGGCAACTACGAATTATCTCGCACTGTGTTTACTTGCCATTTTTGTGCAGCTACGATTAAACTCGGAATATATCAGTGCTAATATTGATAGATTGCTTCTGGGAAAAGAACAAAAAAATCAATGCTAGCTTGCATAAACAGAAAATTTATTAAAAAATGAACAAAAAATATAATTATAAAAATTAATAACATATGATTAAATTGATTTGGCTTCTCGGACCGGAATCCGAAAAGTGCCATGGCCATCAACGTGTTAATAGAGTTGATAATATTCATTTTTTAAATATTCTTTTTCTTTCAGAATTTTGTTCAAGAAACTGAAACGTTTTCAGAAGAAAGTGTTCTTCCTCCTACAAGCACAGAAGAAACATGCAATCTATTAGAAACCCCCAAAATGTCTGGAAGTCAATTGGTTGCTCCAGGCACAAGCAAAAAAAGAAAAAAACCTGAAGATGAATTTTTTACTACAATGACAAAATGTCTAAAAAACATAACAGAAGAGAAAGATGTGAACGACTTGTTTGGAGCGTATGTTGCTGGTCAGCTGAAGACAGTAAAGTGTCCTGCTGATCAGGAACTGTTACGGATGAAAATTCAAAATTTGATTTATGAATTCAAATATCCACAATAAAATTCTGTTAAACATGAATATACTTGTTTATTTATTTCTAATATTTTCTCTTTTTAATTATAAATTTGCAGTAATTTCATGGCAGTCATTAATAGATGAACTATAATAAAGTGATTCACTGTTTTTATGTGTGTTTGTATATATGATTAAGAATATACTAGAGGCTTTTTAATAAATTATTAATAATTAGGAACTACTTGAGATATATATGAGTTTTTATTGGAACATGCAGAATAATTTCAAACATGCCTTAGTGTAAGTCACACATGGCTTCTTGCCAGGGAATGGATCCAATACCATTAAAATAATTGCAAAATCTATCTCTGACATCTTTTGCCTCCTGCGAACCATTGCGTGCACTTCGCTGCAATGAAATAAATTTAGAAGTACTTTCGTTCCATGTTCCTTTTCTTATACAATTATTTTCTAAATCCTCAGCATCTAAACTATGTTCAGGAGTGTATAAATTTGTTGTTTCTTTTTTGCTGCGCAACAGGTTGTGCAGACAGCAAGCTGCCAAAAAAAAGTATTGAGCCTTTTGTGGCGATGTCAATATTGTTGTTCCGAAAAGTCGAAATCTGGCAGCTAGAAAGCCAAATGCATTTTCTACAATTTTTCTTGCTCGTGACAGTCTGTAATTAAAAATTCTTTTTTCTTTCGTTAATGATAACCTTTCTCCAGCTGGTATAGATAATCTCATTTGTGTATCTTGTTTAAATATTATTGGTGAAACCAGGCTTAAAATTTCCTCAAATGTTGCAGTATCCTTCCGCAGCCATCTTCGATAGCCTTCAGTGTCCTAAAAATTTAATAATTAACATTATTAAACTTCTAAGCAATGGTTAAGTTAATTACAGTTCATACCTTTAAAAGTCTGTATTTATGACCAAAACATCAAAAGCACAAACAATGAATATGTATTTGCTTATATGTATACAATCATTTAAGTAGATGTAAATTTCCTCGACATAAAACATGCCAAAATATACTAAAATATAAGAAAGTTTGAATTTGAAGCAAATATCTTTAAAATGCAAAACTGATAAATATATTATATACATCATAAAAATCTAAAGAAATTCCTGAAATTTATCATATGCAGTTGTATTATAACTGCAACAGATTAAAAATTGGAATAATTGTTAGGTAACTTAGTTGAATTTATAACGAAGTTATAGCTGAGATAGGATGAATGTAAAATTTCAAAGAATATGGCACTTTTTGCTAGGCTAACAGTATTATATAAAATTAATTACATGAGTGCAGCCTAGATATGGTGGAATTAATAAAGTGCCAGAGATTACTAAAGGTACTCTATATAAAAGGATTTTGTATAAACATAATATTTATATTACTTGAAGCATGGGGAAAAATATATAAGTTGAAATGTATTTTTAATAGTAAATTCTGTGTTGGAAGTAAAACAGGTACTCTTCTGTTATCGGAACTGGATTCAGGTAATGTATGTATATGTAAGATAAAAATATATGAATCAAAATTATAGATTAAACTATAAACATTAATTCTTCCTCTCTATTCTAAAATCGTAATAACTTCTTTGCATTGCGTCATTTCTAGATCACTCTATGATCAGCGCAGCTCTGATGACGTAATCATTGGGAACTGTCCTTGTAAACCAAAACTTTTCTCTTCGCGTGCTTCCATCTGTCATAAGTACGCACTTCAGCTTTTGCTCTCTGCTGTGCTAAGATGTAATTTCGCTGGCTTGCTTGCTATCTTAACAATATATAAAAATGTAAATCTTCTGTGGAAAGGCACGACTAGAGTGCCAAGTGATTGTGGCCACAAATATCAATTGGAAATAAAAATGGAATTAAAATCACTTCTACTGCCAAGTTTAATTTACGAATTCAACACATTAGCTTACGACGCAATCAGATTACTTCTTCAATATGGATCTAAAATCGCATCGACACTGCTCCGTCTTTTTCCTTTGCTCTTATTATGACAATTAAGCCGGTAAGGATAGTTTCCTGCAGCCTGAAACCTCAATGGAAAATTTAATTCAGCTCTTTAAATCATCGTTTTGTGATAACTCCAAGATAATGTGAAAGAAGTGAATCATCAAATTTGTTTTTTCAGTGTTTAAAAAATAACAGATCATTCTTCTGCTATTGTGTTTTGCAAGTGCTTCAAAAAAACAATCACGCGTAGTGTTTACAGATTGAAAGTAATCTCTCGATAAATTGAGAAGTTCGAATGCCTAGTGAAAAGGAAATCATCAGTGAATTACCGTTTAGGGATTCAGCATTACAGCAGGTTCAAGGTCGATCTGAGTTAGTGTTTGCAAGTATGTGCGAAGAAAATTATTTGCACTTCCGCTTTTTCAACAGCTCAAAAATTATTACATTCGTGTGAATCTAGCTCAGGAACTAAATTATTTAATGTGCTGCGGATTCTATAGTTTTCATTTCAACTTTGGTTAAAATTTCTGCAATTTGTTTTGAGAAAATCTGAAATTCTTGTTCATTAATTTTTCTAATTTTTCATAATTATGTGTGAGCAAATTAAGTAATTAATTTTAAGCTATTTAAATTATTCATAGGGAAGGATATTAAGATAAGTTTTTATGTTTTTGAAATTTTGTTGAGAATTTTGAATACGAATTTTATAATTATTCTAAAAATAAAGATGTTAAAAATAAGTGAAATTAGTACAGATAAGTAATATGAAATTATGGTAAATGCATGTTAAAATTTATGGGTTATTGTGTGTTAAGTATAGTATGCTGAGGGTGTACTGGTTCCTTCAACAGATTACAGGCCTCTGTACAGTTGTTCCTTTTACCCTCTTCATGCAAGATAATGTTGGAGGGCTCTCATTTTATGAGTGTGTGTAAATTTTTATATTATTATTATTATTATATTTTTTATTATGGAATGTATTAGTGCAGTTCGCAAAGGCCAGTTACTTTATGCAAGGAACGGAGGCCTTTTCAAGTAACTGTCTAGGCACCCTAGGCCACCAGTGCATAGAACACACTGGTTAGCTCAAGAGGACAGCCCTATTGAAGGATATGTTTGTTTAGAAGTACTGCGAGGCTTTCAGTTTGGTAAAATCAGGAATTGTAAATGAAAGATGATAACGGTGAAACCATAAATTCTGAAAATCTTAATCCTATTATTTATGATGCTAAATTATAATTTATCAGTATGGAAATAAGTATAATAAATATTTATGTGCATTACATTTTATTATAAGTAATGATTGTGTAAAAGTTTATTTTGTGATATTCTGTAATAACAAGAACCTTCCCTGAAGAATTATGATTATGTGAACTCTCAAACAAAAAGACTTTTGGACCGAAATGCTGGAAAATTCAATAGGACTCTAAAAATTAAAAATTTATTTAAAAAAAAATTGATATTTATAAATTATACTTTACAGGACAAAAATTTTATGATTTATTTATTTTTATTTTTTTTACATTTGCTAGTGCTTTAACTCTTTCTCTTTAAAAAAGTCTTCTCTGTCGCTACGCCTTTTTCTTTTTGAAGGGGGAATATGTAAGATAAAAATATATGAATCAAAATTATAGATTAAACTATAAACATTAATTCTTCCTCTCTATTCTAAAATCGTAATAACTTCTTTACATTGCGTCATTTCTAGATCACTCTATGATCGGCGCAGCTCTGATGACGTAATCATTGGGAACTGTCCTTGTAAACCAAAACTTTTCTTTTCGCGTGCTTCCATCTGTCATAACTACGCACTTCAGCTTTTGCTCTCTGCTGTGCTAAGATGTAATTTCGCTGGCTTGCTTGCTATCTTAACAATATATAAAAATGTAAATCTTCTGTGGAAAGGCACGACTAGAGTGCCAAGTGATTGTGGCCACAAATATCAATTGGAAATAAAAATGGAATTAAAATCGCTTCTACTGCCAAGTTTAATTTACGAATTCAACACATTAGCTTACGACGCAATCAGATTACTTCTTCTTCAATATGGATCTAAAATCGCATCGACACTGCTCCGTCTTTTTCCTTTGCTCTTATTATGACATATATATGCTTGTGTGTATGAATATATGCATTCATTGCCTGCATGTATATAAGTATGTATGTGTGTGTATACATATACATAAATATGCACATACAAAATCTATACACGCGTGCATGCATACATACATTCTGAATCCAGTCCCATTAACAGAAGAGTACTGAATATTTGAACAATTAGTTATTTACACGAGAATCAAATGTAATCAGATATAATAACAAATCTATAAAAATAATTAATATGATTTAACGAGGAATGCCAAATTGCTTTAACACTTTCTTTAGTGTGTCGGAACATTTTCAAGAAGAGGCAGGCAAATCATCACAATTAATTTTAAAAAGGCAATAAATAAAATAATGAAATATTCAGTATAGCTAACTGGAACAGAAAAGCGACACCATATATTACTTACTAATAGTTAAAATCAGCAAACTAAATAAGAATGCAAGTACTCAAGCAGCATAAAATTTTAAAGAATATTTTGAACAGTCAACATTTGAAAAATAAATTTACTCTTCTGTTATTAGAACCAGATTCAGAAATGTATGGATGTATGTGTTCATGTACTCCATATGTATATGTGTGTACACATATATGTGTATACATTTCTGAATCAGATCCTGATAACAGAAGACTACCATAAAACATTCCCTATATGTGTGTACATATGTATGTGTATACATTTCTGAATCAGATCCCGATAACAGAAGACTACCATAAAACATTCCTTAAATTTATGCTTTTAATATATACACATATACTTTGTTATGTAGTTAAATACATATTACAGTGCACATACATACAAATGCTAATACAACTACATAAAAATGAAAGTGAATGAAAATAAAATATTAAAAATTAAAGCATTTAGAAAAAAATCTTGAAATATCTATCTACAATCATTTGCAATGAAAGTCTGTCCTAAAAATTATATGGAAAGTCTTAAGTACGTTTCATGAATTATAAACTATCCACATTTTATTTGTAAAACATTGGATGCATATGTGCACATATTTAAACTTAAAAAAGAAATAACTCTTACCTCTAATGCCAGTTCATGCATTAAATTTTCATAGCAGCCCAGCGTTTTATGTCTCAACAGCCATTGTCTTGCCCATGTTTTTCTTTTAGCCTTTCTTTTTTTCTTGATGAGGAAAGCAGCTGCAAATATATACGCTCCTAAAATGGAACGTTCTTTTGAATTCGACATAGCGTTTGATGGCCGTGTTTACTTCTCTCCCAGAATTGCTTCTGTGTATTGTCACAGAATCACAAGCAGACGATTTAATTAATGTGTCACCAACTACGCTAAAAATAACTAATTTTGGTAACCTTCGTGTTTGTAGTAGAGAACCAGTTTTCCCTTTACATGTTAATCCCAAAGTGATCTACGGTGGTTGGCTGTTGTATATCACGTGACAAAGCAGAAAAATTGTTCAAACAGTTGTCCTTCTGAAACAAACCGCCATGTGATATGGGCCTGGCTGCTATCACATCAATTTGTTTCGGAAGAACAACTGTTTGGAACAATTTTTCTGCTTTGTCACAACAGCCAATCATCACAGATCGCTTTGGGGTTAACGCAGGGGAAACTGATTCCGCATTACAAATAAGCTGATACCTGATTGGTTGAAAACGAACGACCTGCAATTTTTTTTGGAAAGGAAGTCGCGTGTCTTTCTTTCAATAGTAAACCAGGCAGAAAAATTGTCCGAAACAGTTGTTCGTGTGAAACAAACGCCGTGTGATATGGGCCTTTAATAAAAGACAATCAAATTGGAGCTGCGAAAATTGGCTCTATGCCAGCTGCCCGAATGACACTCACGTGATACACAATTCGCCAAAAAAGTGATCTCTTCCAATGTCGGCGCAAAACTCGCCTTTTTTGGCGGGATCGTTGTATGAAATTCCCTGATTTTTCCAGATTTTGACTAAAACACTTAAATTCCCTGACTTTTTCCGGTTTTCCAGTTAGCTTGGCAACCCTGCGAATGGCAATTCCATATGTCATATGGGAATATATACCATATGATTCTATGATTACGTAGTCAGCTGTGGAACATGTATTGAAAATTATTTTGTTTCTTTGGCATTTTTTATGCATTATTATGATGCATCATATTCCTTAGGATGTGTAATATGCTATTAAAACGAAATTTCAAATAATGTCATGAGTAAAATAATGCACTGCTCTTGATCTAACTTAACTGGCATTGGGTACTTTCACTAGTAAATGAATAAATATACAAGCAGCTTATCTTTAATTTCCCCAAAATTAATCGATTTCTAATAATGTTATTTTTACAGGTTTGGCAAAACATTTTTTCTATAATTTACCGTCCTATGAAAAAAGAATATACATAAATTAGACAATGAAACGAAAGTTTATAATTAAAATAAACTACATTTATTTCCATAAAATTCGGACTCATCAATGTCAGAATTAAATAAACTTGGCAAATGACCATCAAGGTCACTTTTCTCCTTCTGTTCTAAATCACTATCTTTATTTTTATCTTCTTTCTTAAATGATTTCCGATTTATGCCATGCTTTAACGATCCAGAAGGCAACCTCCTTGTATGAAGCTTTTCTCATCTGTAGAGAATTTGTGAAAGAATGGAGTCTGTTTCACATCTATTCCTCCCATTGCTTCCAGTTTTTACTTCTGTTGACTGTGAGATGCAGAAGCTGTAAAATTTTAGTAAAATTATTTCAGATTTTTCTCTGCCAAAACAACGTCCCTTTTTCAATGGTGCAAATAATGACCACTTTAGGGACATTTCCTTTCAAATTGTGTTCTTTGAAAATTATCAAAGAGGTTAAGCTTTCTTCATTCATGGCACAACCCCAAATACAAGTCTTTTCAGTGAAATCTTTTTACCTTCATTTTTATTAACCCTTTGCGACACGCATATTTAAAATATATTTTAATCTTTAAAAAAATGTCTTCGAATAAGTCAGATGGACTTACTTAAGTGCCTTTAAGGCTTGAAAAAAATTCTGCGCTTTTATTTTTTATGGGGGAAGGTGGGATACCGTTTGTCCCACCATGCAACTAGCACATGTCGTATAGCATATTGGTGTATAGCAGGAAAAAAAATCATATGTGGAATGAATAAACAAAATAAAGCGTGAAATTCTAAAATATTCATAATAAACACACTAAAATGTATTTTGTACTTATTGCATATATGCATGACTTGTAAAATTTTGCATATGCACATTTTCCATATATATATTTAATATTTTAAATTTTAGGCACAAAAGAAAATATTTTCTTGAATATTATTTTAAGATTAAAATTTGATACACGTACATATGATACTAAATAAAATATTAATATTGGCACTTGATTCAAAAACATTTATATATGATTAAAATTGAAAAAAAAGTCATTTTTCATGAAACTTCGAAAACCATGTTGTTTCATTCTTTTGTAAACATAGAGGCACTTCACATGTTTCACACATCCAAAATGTTCGTCGTTCTTCTTTCGATGTGCTGCAATATGCACATCTTTCTCTGCTCTTTCTCTTTGGCGTATGACTTACATTTTTTAGTCACTTTTCCTGTTGTACGAACGGGTTTTAGTTTTTATTTGAACTGGGGATTTCAGTTTTCTTTTCAGCTCTTTCTTGCCTGCAAGTGCCATTAGACCTTCTATAACTGAGAGAAGAAAATCTTTCATTGTGTTTACATCATGATCGGGTTCGCTAACAAACTTAAATAGAATAAATGCGTTTACTATACTCGCATCTAAAAAGTAAAAAAAAAAAAAATCATGTGCCACCATTTCTTGCTTTTGCGGTATATTTCATATAGTCCTTTCAGTTTATCAATCAGTCGATATATCCCATGTTCTTATTGTATGAAATAATGCTGTTTGGGCACAGTACTTTTTTTTTGGTCTTTCCGTCTCGTTCTTTTCTATTAATTTCTTTAATTTCAGTTGCCTTTTCCAAGCAAGACAGAATAGAAACGGATCTTTTATCCTTCCATTTTATGCAATAAATTGAATCATCGCTAACTGAAAAGTCTATATATTCTCTTGACATATATTTGTGGGTAGATACTTCTGATTCATATTTACTGTGCCACATGCATAGATGGGTCTGTGTCTTTAAAAAGTGAAACAAATTATAACTATTTCCCTTTCTTCTTCAGCAATAACTTTAACCTCAGTTATTCTCTTCTGGATTTCAATTTCATCTGAATGAGAACTGACATCTGAAGCATTTGAGTCGCAATCGGATGGTAATTCAGCAAAAAGATTTAAAGCTTCCTGAGTTGTTAATTTTTTTTTTTTTTTCTAGACATTTTAGCACATCAGAGCATACAACGGATGTAAAAGTGAGTGCAATCACGAAAAAGTAGATGCAAAAAAGAAAAGAAAAAATAATCGTGAGTGCTGCCATCTATTGAGCGGAAATTCAAGTGTGTGGTGGGACAAATTTTAACCCACTTATTTCAACTGCAGAATTAATGTTATAAAATATTGAATCCAATTCAGATTTTTGAAAATAAAATACCTTTGAATATTAAAAAGAATCATACATATCATAAATTGCATACCAAAATTTTTAAAATATTGAAAAATGCAAGATACATGGATATCACTCTTGTGATCCTATTTTGAATATTTTTTGCTTATAAACTTAAGCCCTGGTATTGTAGTGACATCTACTGAGAAAAATAATAACTAAAATAGAACATTTTTAAAAGATTAGAAAATTTCTAACTGACAAAATAAATATTAATTAGGTGGGACATATATTGACCCACCATGCCGCAAAGGGTTAATACAGAAAGTGCTTTTGCCTATTGAATGAACAATCAAAAGGAATTCAGAAAACAATCAAAAGTAATGAGCATTTAATACATATTAATTATTTGCACTCTATTCAAGTTTTGTTCTTTAATTTTCTAAGATGTGCACTCCAAAAAAGTTTTTTTTTTTTTTTTTTTTTTCAAGTGAGTGCAAGGAAAGCTTCTGACCAAATGTTATTTTGGTTTTGATGGATAATTTCTTTCATTTCATGAACCTGAAACACTGATTAAGTCCTCTATAAGGGCCTTCAACATTTTTTTTTTTAATGTTATTTATTATGTGCTCTGCCATTAGGCACTGTATAGAAAGGAGGGTTGCTCTGTGGAAGACTTTTATGAGAATGGCTGTATGGGCATGAAAATGTCCATACAGCCCACCCGTTTTTGCCAGAACACGAAGCCCCAAATCAAGCTACAAATGTTCAGCAGCTTTTACTGCTCGGCTGGTGGTAAGCCAACAAAGCTTTTAATGTCCAGTTGGTGAGAGATTACTTCTGAAGGTCTTGTTGGACTGTCTGAAGGTGAATTCTAGCTATTGGCACTAATAATCCCTTTTTGTCTCTACTCTGTAGCTCATTTTTCTAAATTGTTTTCCAAAACAAGATAGGCTTTAAAGCCAGTCCAATAAGACCTTTTATTCTTGTGTGTTTTCTCTAATTATTTGGACTTAAGCATTGCATGCATCTTTCGTCAACCTGAAATTCCCAAACCGCAGTCCAATTTTCAATTTCTATCGCTTTCTTCACTGACAAAAGCTTAAAAGATGCAGTATGTATAAGTTTTTCTTCAATGCAACAGCCATAATAAAAATAATAATTTTAAAAATTCAACAAACACGATGATAAAGTAAGCAATAAGCAAACCACAAAGCAATGAGACACAGGTAAGAATGAAGACAGAACTTGGTGAAATAAAAGTTCACGTGGCCATTAAAAACGGGGGTTATCAGAAATGTCAGATAAAACTAGAGTTCAGCAGCAAGTGCATGAATTACAGTGTTTTTACACCAAACACTGTACCAAACACTCTACTGTAGTTAGACAAGTTTCACACCAGTTCAAACTTGGTGCACGGCCTTAGTGCAACCCAAGCGCTCTTATCAGGCTAAGATGTATATAAACTAGCAGTTACAAAGTTTAAAGACAGAGGAAAAAATAAAATTCCTTTAAATACGCCACAGATTTAAATTTTTAACTTTCAAAAATATATAAGCCATGGCCTATCTACCAGAAATTATGGTAATATGCCTAACTCCAGCAGCATCGAAATTATTGCATAAATACTATATTCAGGGTTCGTACACATTTCTGCACATGGAAATTAAGTACTTTTAAGGACCATTAATGGAAAAAAAATTAAGGACCTATGAGCGAATGGGAATTGAATAAATTCAATTTAAAATATTATCTATGCCTAAACTTTGCTTTTGTAATACCATCCTAAAAATAAAATAGATCCAGAAGTAGGATGCATTATTAATAAATGTAACTTAATCAAAATTATTGCAGAAATACTATATTCAGGGTCTGTACACATTTTTGCACACGGAAATTAAGTACTTTTAAGGACCATTAATGGAAAAAAATTAAATACCTATGAGCGAATGGGAACTGAATAAATTCAATTTAAAATATTATCTATGCCTGAACTTTGTTTTTGTAATACCATCCTAAAAATAAAATAGATCCACAAGTATGATACATTATTAATAAATGTAACTTAATTAACATACTTATTAATACGTTTGAGAATAAACTTTATGAAATTTATCAAGTAGCATTAAATATTTTATACAGTCAAAAGTCGTTAATTCGGACACCCATAATTCGGAATGATCTATAATCCGGACCTCAAAACTAAAAACTTTCTGCGCATGCACCGCGTTGACACATGCGCATA